TCTTCAAACTTTGTTTTAAATTTCTGTGCATTCTCAGCATTTAGGAAGCGGATGGCAAGCAGCTCCGGCTTGGGATACTCATCGGCGAAGTCAGCATGGGTATTCCAGACCCAGGCACGGTCACTGCCAGCATTTGGCTTTAGCTCCATCATAGGCGTGATATAATGATTGGCGCAGATTTTTAGGGTCTTGTCCTTCCTCATGAGGAGGTGGATGGTCCCCTTATCCTTATGCTTCAGGAGCTTGACATCGCCGGTGCCTCGTTCTTTCCATTCTGGACTATCATTCTCTGAAGCAAATCGGAACAACTTTTCTCGCATTTTAAAAAGTTTCTCCTCATCTTCCTCTAGTGTTTTAATTTCTTGCTCAGGAAGAGAAACTATTGGTTCAAACTGGGGGTCATGGTTGGATTCGTCTGCATTCTCAGTGGAGGTATCATGGTCCTCATGAGTATCCTCAAGCCCTCGGGCCCCGCGCGCCCCAACTCGGTGCTCAACAGGCCTCGAGTCCGATCACCGACGGGGGTTGGCGGCGGAGTCAAATGAATTCTTGCTCAAGAAAGGGTTCTTTTATTCCCAAAGCTCAAAGTGAGGTCGTAGTGCTGAGGACAGATATCAATTTCAATCTGTCTACTTATTATAGCTCAGTTCAGAGGCCCCAAGCCTTCCTATAAATAAACTCCTGATGGTTCTGCTCCGCTTGGCATCTAGATATGCCAGAACATGGTTTAATGTACAGTAGGTATCACCTCAACTTAGACCCTCATTGTAGGATTCCTGCTACACTTAGTTTTCCTAATTAAAAAACAATAAATAAACTCATGAGAACAAAATGATAGCAAGCAAGAGAAAGTGCTTGCAAATGAGATGAATTGTAATGAGACTTGTTCACTTATTTGTCTAGCAGAGATCCATGACAATGGAACTAAAGGCAGCAAAGGAGGGAATAAAAAGGAATGATTAATTGAGGGAGAAGTCAAGCTGATAGGCACATAGGAAGTAATTCAAAAACTACGTATTAACTAGGATTTTTGTGGGATTATTTGAGTACAAGATACACTTGCCAGATGAACAGAGATAAATGGGGAATGATGATCCTGAAGTACCTAAGAAAGAGAATTACTCCACCTGCACACTTTAGGCAACTGAAACCTAAGCAAAACTATACACTGTGCAGAATTACAAAGGATGACTCCAGAGCTCAGTTGAAAATCTGAGTCCTGGGGGCTGGGGAGATGCCTCAGTGGAGTAAGTGCTTCCCTGGCAAGCGCAAGGGCCTGAGTTCAATCCCCGGTTCTGCCAAAAAAAAAAAAAAAAAAAAGAAAAAAGAAAATCTGAGTCCTGCCGCTTATGAGCTCCAGGTCAATTTTGAAAAATTAATCTATTTTTCATTCATAGTGAGTTGGATACATAACAGTATGACCTCTCCATTGGTGTTTTGCAAGTGTTCTAAGAGTCAGTATATCTAAAGCACTTTCATATCAGGTACACTGCAAATGCTTAATATGGATAAATTTAATGTCATTTACCAATGTATATCATTTACCAATGTATGTCACAGAAGGAAATGGAATGGGTCTATAATTTATGCAAATTTTCACTAAAGCTGAAATTTAAGAGCAGATTTTTTCAGTTAAGTAGAATTTTGTGTCTATAACCTGTAAAATAATTGAAATTTACATTTTTCAGTTTTGAGCAAAAGTTTTGGAGAAGGCCAGAATACTCAAGTGGTTTAAACCACTCATATTCATGAAAGTAGCTAATTTGCCATTTTGCTCACTATATGGGCAAGATGCACCTATTATAGGACAAGATCAAGAGATAGCTTTCATATTAAAATGATGAAAATTTTGATTTACTCAAAATGGCTACTATATGTGTAGAAATTACTCTTACAATTGCTGCAGAAAGGATAGTTAATGATGTGCAGATATTTTTTTATTGAAAATATCAGATATTTTACATTGTACTTTGTTTTAAACAATGGCCACAAATCAGAAAGTTTTTCACTGCCACTGTAGATTGCTGCATTAATAATCATATGTAGATATAGTTGAAGTTCTGAATATTAGTGAGTATATCAACTAATTCAAACTAAAGTGCAGTCTTGTAAAGGGAAATTACTTTCAGCCCCATTTGAAAGCGTGTTTTCTAATCAAACATAGCTACAGCTTTAGTTATAACTATTAGATTTTATTGAATAATACTCAAAAATAATTGCACTCTAAAACATTTATTTTCAACAATTCTTGAAAATCAAAAGTTTGACATAAACCACAAAATGTTTGCCATAACAATACTTTCAAATTTTGCTTATTAAAACATGAATTTGGAACAATAATAAAACATTATTTGGATACCAACAGTGCTTATATTCTGTCCCAGAAAGGCATGGGAATGAGTCAATAACATTCCAATTGGTTTAAAAGAAGGGATGTGTGCCAGAGTAATGAGTCATCAGCAGCCTGTTGGCCATATTTAGCAGGGGAGCCTGCTGTTGATTAGCTGTGCTCTGACAATAAATAGCCTATCATTGCTTCCAATGTGCACCACTATGTTACAGAGAAGTTCTACAACTATAATATCATTCATGATAACCAAGCTAGTATATGGACATGTGAATACTTACAGTGAAGATCTGCTTTATCATGTATAACCTCATGGAATATAGTTAAGGAGACATTTGGTAGCTGATCTTGATGTAGTCAACTTTACAATTTTGAGATTGGTCACCTAGCTTCTGGGCTATCTATATCCTGATTTTGCTCCTACCACTTCCTTTGGCTGATAGCTTTTTTGAACTTTTCATTGTTTATCAGAACCTGTAGAGGATAACTGAAAGCAGATGAAATCAAACCACTCAAATACATTTCTTATTAGCAGCTATATTGAACAGTTCTGTTTAGAAAGTGGTTACAACTACTAGTTAAAATCAGATTTCTGAATTATCAACAGGTTTGAATTATCCATGGTGTTTCTGTCCCTTGTAACCCTGCATAATCCGAAATTGGCTGGCTCTATATACATTATTTGCCTTGCCATATGGAGAAAAAAAAAATGAGTCATTAGTTGGAAGAATAAAGATGCTTGCCTTCTGTTCTGTTTCTGTTCAGAATTTTCTACTGTTTCTTTTGTGTACAACTAACTAAAAAGCACAGGGGGCTCTGTTATAATACACACTAATTATAGGTTTAGTTTCAGTAATTTGCAAAACCTTAAAAATAATCTTCTGGAGGTGTGGCTATTTAGTCACATTTTTCATATTTGAAGGGTTTTATGTAAGTGTTCCAAATAATTTTAACTCATTAATTATACTAGCCTCAATCAGAAATTTGTAACCAGGGAGTACCAGTAATAACACACTGTTACATGTTTATCTTACATAGCCTGAACTAGAGTGTATCTCCAGGGAAAACAATATGTGTGTTATCAGGGCCAGCCAATAGCTCCACAGGATTAAAGCACCTGCAAGGAGGCACAGGGGCTGGGGTTCGATCCCGGGCCTGCCATGCCAGCCCCACCCCTGGGGCACGCTGAGATGGCAATTGAGACTGGGTGTGGTGGCTCATGCCTGTAATCCCAGCTCTTAGGAGGCTGTTAACAGGCAGATCACTACAAGTCTGATCTAGTAGTGAGACCCTGAACACACTGTAGACTCTTCCATAAAAATACAAAAAGAAAAAAGAGACTTGTGTTATCTTTCTAAAACATGAGATACTTTAGTCTCTCATAATCTTTGCTGCTTCATGAATTTGAACATTTGTATTATGAAATGCTTATTTCAGAAAATAGGAATAACCATAGACATTGTCTATAATCCCATTTGTATTTTACTTTTTCCTTAATTTATAGTACACACTTACACTGAACTAATTTTTGCAAGCAGTTTCCATCTTGTACATATATATTTAATCTTTGTAGTTTTTAGTTTTCAAAATATGCAGATAAGCATCAAAATAATTATATTTCTCTTGGTGAATTATCACATTAAAATATGAATTGAATTTATACTGATGTATGTAAATATTTTACTCATAACAAAAATCTATTACTTCTTTGGTATGCATTCTGGGTTTTGCATGGACCCAGGCTGACCTCCAGCTATGTACTATGTACTATGTACCCCAGGCTGATTTCAAGCTCACAGCGGTCCTCCTACATCAGCCTCCAAAGTGATGGGATTATAGGTAAGGGTCATCAGGCCTGGTACTGGTATATTCTTTTCTTTTCTTTTTTACTTTCTGCAAAGCTTTATTCCCAAGGGGCTCCATCCTTCTTGGCAGCTGCCTTCCTCATGGTAGCCAGCATGTGCTCAGCTCTTCATGCCTCCTCTTAGTGCAATGTGCATCCCCACCCTTTTCTTGATGAACTTGAGGGCGCACTTGTCCTTGGAGACCTTGAGCCGCTCCATGGTGTGCCGCTCCTATGGGGTGAAGCCACAAACCTCTCAGATCATGTCCCACATGAACGTGGTGTGTCTAGTGAGACATCCACATGGCAGCTGTGCTTTGGTTTGCTCACATTCTTAGTCACCTTGTGGCCCTTGTTGAGGCCCATGGCCATGGGCTAGCAGAAGGCCAAGGCTACTCTTCTTCCGTGGTTGCTATGGAGGAAGCGGAACTGGTATATTCAATTATGAGAAGTAAAAGAAAGAAAAAATAAATAAATTCACAAATAAATCCCTACTTACATCTTCACTTACCTAGCCAAACAACAATGAAATTAACAGTAACTTCACCCCAATGCCCATCAAAAAACCCATATCATTTTAAAACATATTAAGCTCTTCAACCTATTTTTAGCATAATTAGTCTTCCTACTTGTCAAGATTTTCCCAACTCATTCAATGACAATATTGTCCTTCTATTTGATCATGCACCAAACATTAATACCATTCTTAGTCATTCTCTTGCATCCCATCAACAAAGTGCTGATAGTTGACAATATTGCATTATATACTAAATGTTATTAAGGACGTGTTATTCATTTAAACAACTTTTTTTTCTTTTTTTTGGCGGACCTGGGGATTGAACTCAGGCCCTTGCACTTACCAGGGAAGCACTTATTCTACTGAGCCATCTCCCCAGTATTAAACAACTTTCATTGGCTCTACCTTCAAAGTAAATTCTCCACCTGACTAATTCTCAAAACTGCTAATGCTGAAAAAACATTAAAATATATTTTAAAATAGGCATAAAGAATTATATAATTCTTATGTTTACTCATAAGTCCAGAAATCTAACCATATACAACCTTGTAGCAGGAGAGTCCTGCAACATTCCTTTTCCTGTCTCCTGCCTTCATTCACCACCCTCTTCTTTTTCAGCAGTCATCTATCCGAGAGACAGCATGGCATGATATAGAGTGTGCCTAAGGAGAGTCACATAGAGAGAAAACATTTTCTCAGGCATTCACAGAGAGCACATTGGCCAAGCAATGGCCGTGACTCATCCACGTGGCTGACACTGACAACGTATCTACAATCTCAGGTACATGGTCTCAGGATAAATCCTAAGAGGATTTGACTGACCTTATCAGAGTCAAAAGCTACAACTCTTGTTGCATAGGTCTTACTTTATCTTGGTCTTAACCATCCAGCAGAAAAGTATAAAAACAAAGTATAAGAAGTAAAGCCATGCTGTTATGTTGAGCTGTAGGGGACTCAGGTCAACAACTTCTGACATCGCCAGTCAAGCAGAAGACCCAATTCTATTATGGACTACTGGACTATTTTGGAATATTTTGCTGAGTTCACACACCTAGAATATTTAAATGACAGAACTAAACAAAAAAAGGGGATACAGATGAATGACCATTTTGTATCTGTGTACTCAAAATGATTAGGATAGATATACAGCTACATTCTCTTAATTCAATGAATAAGGGATTTGTTCTAATATTGTTTGTAAATAGGATATCATGTGTGCTTCTTGTACAACAAATAACTACTAGGAAGATAGTATGCAATGTGTTAATTGCTGAAACTGTCCTACTAATTTAATTTAAAACTGTCTCATTGCTATTTGTTTATCAATAAAATTATGGGAAAAAACTGCTAATGCTACAACCCATGTATAAGACACATTTTCTTTTTTTATTCTTTATTTAATTTTTATTTTAGTGAAGGGTCTACAGGGTGTTCAAGGTCTCACTACTAGATCAAACTGGTAGTAATCCACCTGTTTACACCATCCTAAGAGCTGGAATTACAGGTACGCACCACCACATCCAGTCCCAATTGTCATCTCAGCACGCCCTGGGGTTGGGGCCGGCACAGCGGGCTGGGGAATGAAACCCTGGCCCTTGAGCCTGCTTGCAGGCATTTTAATTCAGTGAGCTATTTGACCTGCCCTAAAGTTGAGAAGTTTTTTTTTTGGCTGGCTCAGGCTGCCTTAATGGCGGGGTCTGGTAAGGCCTGAGGAGATGGGGATCAAACTGTGGTATCCTGCACCTGACTGCATTTGCATAAGCAGGCACTTAAACAACTGAGCTCACAGGCAGGCCCCTAAGACAGCATTTTCTCTCCCTTGAATTATTTTATTGGTTATTTTATTGATTTCTTAACCTGTTTCTTTTATTCAGCATTTACACTCCCATGGTTTATTCTTCATGCAACATTCAAGAGATGTCTAGAAAATATGTTAGATCAAGCCATTTCTTGCCTCAAGGCTTTCCAGCATCAACCCACTTCACTTTGAGTCAAGGATAAAATTCTTAGAATGGACAACAGAACCCAAAGAATATATCACCCTGGGCTGGGGAGATGGCTCAGTAGAATAAGCACTTGCCTGGCAAGGGCAAGGGCCTGAGTTCAATCCCCAGTTTCAGCAAGAAAAAAAGAATATATCACCCCTCAACTTAAGCATTCTGTCTGAACCATTTTTCTTCTCCCCTTTTCTCATATCATGCCAGTTGCCCTGTTCTTCGTTCTACTTTTCTGAAAAGCAGCACAAATTGAAAACTTGTACATTAGGAAAATTCTGCTTGGCTCTAATGGAAGGAATATA